GATGAAATGACAGAACATTTTGTTTTAAAAATTCAATACTATCTTACACAAAATAAAACTAAAATAAAATAAAACAAATCATTAATTTAAAGAGATAAAAATTCTTCTAAATCACTGTGGTAATATGTAAATAATCTCTGTAATCGGCAAAAATCTAAAACTGAATTATAAAAAATTTAGAAAGAATTTATAGACATCTTACAAATTTGTAATAAATTTAATCACACTACGCTACGATTGGTAAACATTGTGCTAATGTAATAAAAATTTAAATGATAAAAATGTATTTTCATTTTTATTAAGGTGAATAAACTGTTAATATTATTATATAATACGTAAATAGGATTAACATAAAACATAACTGCAGTAATTTTAATGCAATTTATGACTAGCTTTTAACTATAATTGAATGCTATAAATTATTTAAGACCGTCATGTATGTCATCCTGTTTAACTGGTGCCCTTCCGCAGCTTTATTTATTGAATTTTTTACTTTTCTATTTCTAATAGATAATACATGATTTTTATCAAGGGTAAGTGATAAACATATAATATCTTTTTTAAATTTACGAAGAAAACATCAACCCACCAATATGTGGAGATAATACACCTAAAACCTGACAATTGATGTGTACTCATACTGATAATATTTCTAGTATAAGTGCCTAATTCTTATTTTCTTAAAAAATATAATAGTTATTGATCCAAAAACAATAATATTTTAAAAAATCCCCAAATAAAATCTCAACATTTTAGTTTACTGAAAAATTGTGAAATCTACCGCCGAGTTGAGAAAATCGATAATGTCCCGTTAGCTGAAGTGGTAAAAGCAGTGTGGGTAATACACGAACAGGAGAGTTCGAATCCTGCTCCAGGGAGATTTTTTTCAATAAATGTGTTTTCAACTTTTGGGGATTCATAAATAATGTTCAATAGACGAAGACGAAATTTGAGCACAACGTCGTAGGTGGAGTGCTCAATTGTCTGAGTACGATGTGGACAATCCTCTCGAGTTCTACAGTATATTTTTTCTACGATTTAGTAACGAAAATTTACAAATAAAAAAAATATTTTAGGATATTAAGACAAAAATAACTAATTTTAAAATAATTTATGATTTTTAATAATTTTTAAAATAAAAGAAGCGAACTCCAGTCTTCCGCGTGGAAGGCAAGAATGCTGATTACAGGACCGCCTATTCTTTTATTTTTGATGCTTTGTTACTCGTAATTAAATTGACTACATAATTATATTTTTATTTAAATTAACAAATCATTTATAATTATAGACGAAATAAAAACAGAAATGCTATTATTTATCGATTGTACACAAGAATAACCCATTTTAATATATGTTTAATCTCAATAACTAAAAAATATACTGACAATTAGTTTGACAAAATTGTCACTAATTTCATTTTCTTGCAATGTTCTCACTACCTAGAATGGATATAAAATATATTCGTTCAGTTGAAGACAATAGCATACTTTTTCGTTTTATAATCTGTCCGTAGATAAGCTAATGTGAATGTAGAAAAAATATATTTTCGCATTTGAACCCGATAGCAAAAATTGTGGTAGCGCTTCTGGAGTTCGCTTTAATTTTCAGTAGTTTACTTTGAACTAATTACCGTAATTAAAATGTATAAAAAAAATCGTAAATATAATCATTATGCTAATTGATGTACTAACGTAGATCGTAGCCTTTACACATGAGTAACTATTGAACTTGAGAGCCGTTCTAATTTTTATGTTTGTAAATAAATTAATTTTTTTGACGCAGTAGACAATAATGATTTTTTTATGATTAGGATATTACTTGCATTACATCAATTTTTTTGCATATGCACATAGGCGCCGAATCCCCGGGGGCTCTGGGTGCGTAAGAGCAGTTTAAAACCGGGTGCGGAGCACCTATAGCACAACGTGGACAAAAAGTATTAATAAATCATTAAAAATCTCCTTCTAAATTCGTGATAGTTAATAAATGTTTTATATTGTGTTTCTACTTATTTCATTGGCACTCTAAAACACCGCAGCACCACTGAATACCGATGGTGGCTGCACCTAGCACTAGATGCCAGATATCCCGATTTAGATGGGAGCCTCCAGCCTACTGATTGTTTGTACTCCCATCTGCCGCTTCAATCCTCCAGCAATTCGACATTTGACAATACCTTTTTTCCAAGAAAATTTTCATAAAATCAATGCTTTAAAATAGCTTTTAAGTACTTTTAAAAAACCGGTGGTGATCCTAAGTGGGATGTGGAAGGGAAGGGAAGCCCCCCATTTTCCGCATAGAGATCGGGCACCCTAAGCAATTTTTGAGTTCCGGCGCCAATGCATATGCACGAAGAAGTCAGAAATAAAAATTGATAAATAAAATTCTAGATTATTCTATATTTGAAATATATTTGCTCTAGATCTATCTACTTAATTGTTTGAGGATGTGGTTCAAATTGTAAAGCCTAAATTACCTATCAATACTGGGCAAGCATGTAGATGGTACAGCAAGAAAAATAATGTTGAAGTACTTTTAGAAAATTTTACTAACTTAACAAAACTTCCAAACAACTTAACCTACAGCCAAAACTACTAGGTATAGAAAGCTGAAATTCGGAACATAGATTTACTTTATAACGTAAGCATGCGCTAAGTAATGATTTTCGGAAATTTTAAGTCTAAAAGGGGAAATAGGGAGGGAAATGGGGGACAAGCTGTGAGTGAAAGTCTTTGTTATTTGAAGTTAGAAATAGTGGCGGCTCGTGGGCACTAGCGACGGTGGGGCACACACTGGAAAGTAATCCCTCGATTCGTTTTTCCCTTAGGAAAACAAGTTTTAGGCTTAATGAAAATTAAATATATTTCAAAACAATCAGTTGGGGCAATAACGATTTCCGAATGTGACTACAGGGAAAAATCATTACATATCCACTCTTGCGAAATTTGTGTAAATTTCTCAGAAGAATGCAATTTACTTAACAATTCTAACTTGTTAACGCATTTTAAAGCATACGACTCTGAATAAAAGGTGATTGGCAATTTAAAATATCCCAGCGAAAAATTTCTCTTTTATATTTTCAAATTAAAAAAAAATATTTATATCTCTATTTGATAGTTTGTCAACTAAGCCTGGAATTTCCAACGCTTACCTTTTTGAGATGATCAAAATAGAATTTGGTTATCCTTGCCAACAATTTGCGAAAATGTACACCATTAAATTATTTATAAGACTCAGAATTTTTTATACTCTTAAATATGCAAACAGAGATTTGAAATCATCGAAAAAGTCAGACAAAATCAAAAGAAAAATTAAAATTTTGTCCCATTTATAAATATTGATTTTTTTCATCATATTTTTGACTGCTTTATAAAAAAAAGTTATTTTTCTTTGTAGTATTATTTCTTAACTATTCCAATGGTCCAACAAACGCGCACCTTAAGCCGAAACCGGCATCGCTTTTGTGAGAGAGCCGGTAAAGATGCCGCTGCGTACATTCGTATCTGTTCTAGGTAATCTGTGCCATGGGTACAGCACGTCACGATGAGGACAGCGCCCCGCTTGTGACGTATAATCCATCGCATATGTTCATCTATTGCTAAGCGATATTGTCGTTGTTCTTGTTTTTCGCATCATAATAAGAGAGAAAACAACAGAGGCACACATTTACTGTGCCCTGTGCCCATCTTCCACTTAATTTCGGAATTCTCGGAACATCGTTCAACGCCCGGTCGTCCAGTGTCGTGCCAACGCGGTTTGCGCTGAATATTAGATAAAATAATAATAGGCATTGAGGAAAATATAAAATATGTAAGTTATTTTTTTTTGTTTATTATACTAGTGCCCTTACGGGCAAACCGCCACTGCATTTAAATAGTTAACTATGCTTAGAAACATGAAAATTTGAAATACAGCTACTGAGCATAAATAAATAATGACGTGTTTCAGGGTTTTAGATTTTCACATTTTAAGGGGGGAAATTGGGGATGAAAGCTTTTATGGGAAAATAGATTTTTCAAAGGTCGAAACGTGAAAATTAAAATTGTGGCTACTCACTCATACTCATCATGATTAAATAATGACTTGGATTTTAACATTTTAAGGTGGGGAAAAGAGAGGAAACGGGGAGGGGGTAAAAATTTGTATGGGAGTATCGATTTTTTAAAGGTAGGAATTTGAAAATAGGAATTGTAACTACTAGTAATAAATAAATAATTTGTTTTTTAGGGTTTTTGGATTTTCGGATTTTCACATTTTTAGGGTAGGAAAACGGGAGAGGGGGGAAAGTTTGTATGGGGTATCGGTTTTTTAAAGGTAGGAACTTTAAAATTAGAATTGTAGCTACTCATCATAAGTATAAATAATGACTTATTTCAGGGTTTTTGGATTTTACATTTTAAGGGGGGAGGGGGGACGGTGGGTCAGAATTTGTATAAAAAAAGAAATAAAAATAACTAATTAAAAATAAATATAAGTAAATAATATACAAATAAAAACAAATAAAAATAAATAATTAAAAATAAATAAAAAATGAATATAAATAAATTTTTTCCATCTTCGGGTGCAGTCATAAATTAATAAAACATGGGGACGATTACAAACAAATAATTATTTTTTTTTAAACAAATTGGTGAAACTTATTACGCCTTAGAATAAAAAAATATGAGGAGTGAATTGATAAAAATGACATATCTCGATGTCTTGACAGTTCCGCAAGCAATCTGGTGATATCAGCAGATGAGAATCGTGCTAGAAATGTGGTATACAAAGAGATTCTTAATTAGATTACTATAATTAAATATATTATTTAATCTATAAATACTATTACATATATACCATAGACTCAGAAACATATTATTGTTTCTTTTTTGGGCAGTCATGCATTTTTTTATATAAAAATACGACTACATGCGTGCAAAAATAATAAGTTGAAATGTATCGCTCTAGACATACAAGATGCATTAATTTGAAAAATATTTAATAATTACTTTTTGTTTCAGGCTTCTATGGACTTACCCCCCGACAAAGCGAAACTTCTAAAAAGTTACGATTACGAAAAAAAATGGGATATTATCTGTGATCAGGTAAGAATATAACTATTACTAAGTGTACAAATCTGTAGCCCACAGATAAAGGAAATCATGCCACATTTGTATAGAAGAGTATTTTAAACATTCAAAATGAAAGAATTTGAGGCTTTGATTTTCATTTAATTTTCTCAAATTAAGTAAAGTATTTCATCATTAACAATGAATACGGAAAGTATAATATACGTGAAACAAACAAAGACTACAGATAAGCGACAAACGTCCGATGCTTTCCACCACTCCCACTTACGCTCGTCTTTTGTCCCAGTTGTCATATGCGCGGTTTTCATTTCAATCAAATCCATTAGCTACAAAGCTCACGTAGTACTTCATAGAAAAATAATAAGTAAGACCAATCGTTTAAATGCACGACACTGGTAACACGTTGCTAGTTCCTAGCTATACTACTTGGAGTCACCATCGCAGAAGAAAATAAAAAGAAGAGTGTCAAGCGTAACCGCGGTTTATACAAATGTCCAATATTTATGGTAAAAAAAAGGAAACCGTATTTATGTTCATATAAATTATCATTGTAGTACGGATTCTAACAGCCCCATGATATGGAAATGCTTCGCTTCCGTACTCGACAATGTCCGGTCAGAATACCGATAATCAGGCGCAGATTCTGTCTAGTCAGAGTCTAGATTTGTTAGCTGTAGTGCTGTCGGGATGACTTAAAAGTTCTCTGGCAAGTCTTGTTTTATCCCATCTTACCTTGAATTTCACAAGGGAATGTTCTTTAATTAGGTTCTCTTGGCCAGTTAATCAGCCAGATCTATCTTAAGTTGACTACATTGTTGATAGATACTTCGGCCAGAGCTTCGTGATAGTCTAGTGCTAACCCTGAATAAATTGGTGGTATGTCCAGGGCATATAGTGCTTGTCGGCTATCTGTATAGATGAGCGAGGGGTTAACAACTGGACCAAAATTTGTACATGTATTGCGCATTACATGCTTTTTTTAAGGTAATTCCAATGTAATACCAGTAAGTTTATCGTAATGCGGCATTTTTAGTGGTAATGTATCGGATAATCCCAACAATTTTCGGAATGCCGACATAATACCACGTAATTCGAGTAATACCACGTAATTCCAGTAATAGTCTGGTTCACAAGTGCCATTTCCCTCGAAACCTGTCCTCCAGCACCGAAAATTATGATTTTGGGCTCATTCGATTCGGAATGGCATCTAGAACATTCTATTAAAATTCCAAGAGGGGCTGAAAAAAAAATGCAAAAGTTATAAACAATAAAGTAAAATAAAAAATAAGGGTTTGGTTTTTTTGAAATATTTCAAAAACTATTTGAGATGATCGAAATTTGAAAAAAGATCCTTAAAGAGCAGGAAATTTCCTAAAAAAAAGTTCTACCTCCCGGAACTGTACCAACAACCCTTATAATTTTAATTAAGCGGCGAAAATAACGGAAAAAACGCGTGGTTCGGCTGCCGCGCGCATCGCCCCAATCTGACACATGAACTAAAAAAATTATTTTAACTGATTAAATATTAATATTAAGGAATAAAAAAATTTGGGTACTAAGTAGACATATGAATAAACAATAATCCGTAAACAAAAAATTTTTATCACTATTTTTTTATTAATTATGCTTTTGTTAATTAGTTAATTTTCACCATTTTAATGTTAACATAGAAACGCTGATTATTTCAAAACAAGAAATCTAGAATTTTTTTTGATTTGTTTGAGCTATTGTTAAAAGGGTTTAGAAGAGATCACCGTTGGAAAAATTCAAAAATTTTGATTTTTCACTTTTTTATTAACAATAAAAGGCATTAAAAAATTATTTATATAAATAAAGCCATTAGGAAATTTTTTTTTTCCAATTATTATTAATATTTTGTTTTCTTATTGATAAAAGCCATATAACAACAATTTTTTTTTATTTTTAACTAACATTATTAAAATAATTGTTATAAACAAATGCATTGTTTATTATATTTTTGAAAACTTTTTCTTTGGAATTTTATCCTTGATGAAAATAATGATTTTTAAAAAAAAATCGTTCCTTAAAAAAATTTTTTATTAACAAAAAACGCACTTGTTTAAAAATTTTTTTTTGTTACTAAATATTAATATTAAGGAACCATTTTTTTTAAAATCATTATTTATTATGTTCTTTCGTATTATATACAGTGTGTCCATGGATGGGGTCCCCAAGGGGGAAAAAATCTTATTATTCATTTTACGACCAAAAGTCATTCTTTATAAAAAGTTCTGCTTGTTGAGAAAATGGAGTTGCCTTATAAAAATTTTAGGTTAAATGTACAGGGTGTTAATACATTAGGAAAATATGAAAATGCTTCAAGAGGGGTGCATTAAAACAAAAGGTTTACTCAAATAATCTTCCACATGATAGATAAATATTAAAAGAGCGCATAGAAGAAGCAATCCATGAACTGAATGTGCCACAAATCATTCGTAAAGTGTACGGTGAATTTATTAAGTTAGCGGAAAAATGTGTCGAGGTGGGAGGTAGTTATGTAGAATAATTTTAAAATATTGGAATTTTTATTTAAAAATTTGTATTTAGTCTCTATGCTAGTTTATAAACAACTTTGTTTTATAAAATTTTTGTTAAAAATAATAAATAATGGTACTTCCCTCTTGAAGCATTTTCATATTTTCCTAATTTATTAACACCCTGTACATTTAATCTAAAATTTTTATAAGGCAACTCCATTTTCTCAACAAGCAGAACTTTTTATAAAGAATGACTTTTGGTCGTAAAATGAATAATAAAGATTTTTTCGCCCTTGGTAATTTTTCATTTGTTTATTAAACAAACAATTTGTTATAAACAAATGCTATTTTACGCAATATTTTTTTTAAATACTAAAAAATATTACAAAAACAACCATATATATTTTTTTATTGAAAAAAAAATTATGAAAAAAAAATTTTTCCTAATGGCTTTATTTACATAAATAATTTTTTAATGCCTTTGATTGTTAATAAAAAGTGAAAAATCAAAATTTTTGAATTTTTCCAACGGGGATCTCTTCTAAACCCTTTTAACAATAGCTCAAAAAAATCAAAAAAATTCTAGATTTCTTGTTTTGAAATAATCAGCGTTTTTATGTTAACATTAAAATGGTGAAAATTAACTAATTAACAAAAGCATAATTAATAAAAAAAATAGTGATAAAAATTTTTTGTTTACGGATTATTGTTTATTCATATGTCTAGTTAGTACCCAAATTTTTTTATTCCTTAATATTAATATTTAATCAGTTTAGTTCATGTGTCAGATTGGGGCGATGCGCGCGGCAGCCGAACCACGCGTTTTTACCGTTATTTTCGCAGCTTAATTAAAATTATAAGGATTGTTGGTACAGTTCCGGGAGGTAGGACTTTTTTTAGGATATTTCCTGCTCTTTAAGCATCTTTTTTCAAATTTCGATTATCTCAAATAGTTTTTGAAATATTTCAAAAAATCCAAACCCTTATTTTTTATTTTACTTTATTGTTTATAACTTTTGCATTTTTTTTCAGCCCCTCTTGGAATTTTGATAGAATGTTCTAGATTCCATTCCGAATCGAATAAGCCCAAAATCGTAATTTTCGGTGCTGGAGGACAGGTTTCGAGGGAAATGGCACTTGTGAACCAGACTATAATACCACTGTAATGCCATTGTACTGCTATCATAATGCCACATAGTCTCATGTAATGCCAGGAACGTAATTATGATTGTTGTATACTTAGGCTACATAGGGCTACAGTTTTATATTTCTGGACCATTATAGTTGAAAACAAACATCACATACTATAGTTTGTACAGGATGGGCATTTTATTAGGGGCCTATCCTTTTCTGCATCGACTTCATACCAGAATTTTAAATGGAACACCCTATATACGAGTATTTTTATATTTTTCGAATCTACGCGATATATTACACTGACTTATTGTGAATAGTAAAGGATCTATAGCTACTTGAAAATAACGTTTTTTAAACTTTAGAGGACTGTAGGAGCCAAACGGTTAAAAATCGAGAAAAACGATTTACTTACTTTTCAAATTCTATTTAGTGGTGTTACAAATTATTTAATATAGGGTGATCAAAAATCAGCTGATTAAATCATCCTGTATCCAATAATTTTTAACACCGCTAAATAGAACTTGAAACGTTAGGATAGGGACATGTAAACCGATATTTAACTGTTTGGCTTCTACAGTCTTCTAAATTTTAAAAAACATGATTTTCAAGTAACTGTAGATCCTTTACTATGAATACTAGATAGCAAGTGTATTATATCATTTAAATCAGATCATTGAGTAGATTTTAAAAATATAAAAATATACAGTGTGTTTCATTTAAAATCCTGGTATTGAAGCTATTTTGGGACACTCTATATTAATAAAACTAAAATAATTAAAAAATTTGTTTGAAAACAAGAAACTTTTGTATCAGCTTTTTTTTCTAAAGTCCATAGTTTCTGAGAAAAGGTGTAATAGGCATCTAATAAAATGCGCTCCCTGTAGATATTTATTATTTAAAAATTCTAGGCCACCCTATAGGTAGTCATTTTAGTCTAAATAAAATGCTAATTTATCTCGTAATTTATTTTACAAAAACCATTTTAACATATTAATTCCTACTTAATATTTTTATAAAATTTTGTTTCATTCATCTCATTCTTTTTTTTTTAATTTTTTAAATAATTAAATCTTCCTAAAATCCCCCTTAACGTACACCAATGAGTTTAATATTGTGTGTAATTAAAAATGTCCCATTGGTTAACTTTTAGTTAAATTTTATTTAAATTACTTAAATCGTCTAGTATTTACGTTTTTTTTAATGTTCAAACCCCTTTAACACCCCCTTAACGTAAGCCCATGGGTTTAATATTGTAAATAATTAAGAATGTCCCTAGTAATGTCACGTAATACCAGAGTAATGCCACCGTAATGCCGGTAATGCCACCGTAAAGGCAGTAATGCCACCGTAAAGCTGTAATGCCACAGTAATACCAACGTA